TCATTAATACAACACCTTCATGACAGTCCAGCCCTCCAAATCTTGTTTTAATAAATAACTGAATTCACTTCAATGATATATTTTGATCCTCATTCATTATTATTATTATCATTTACATTTTATTATTATTATAATTTACTTTTTATTATTATTTATTTATTATTATTATTATTATTATTATTATTATTATCTGTATTATTATTATTATTATTATTATTATTATTATTATTATTATTATTATTATTATTATTATTATTATTATTATTAGTCTTTGCCATTAACATTATCATTGTTTACCTGGTAGGCATCTTGTAGCCTACAGGGACATGTTTTTGCCTAACCAGTCTCATTACGTTTTGAGTGAAATAAAATTATGAATTATGAATTACACCAATGTCATCTATCGATATAAAACATCGATTCGATTAATTAACAGCAGCTTTCCGCACTGTGGCAGTGCCGATAGAAAACAGCAACTTTTTGGCACTGCGGCAGTGCCGATAGAAAACGGCAGCTTTTTGGCACTGCGGCAGTGCCGATAGAAAACGGCAGCTTTTTGGCACTGCGGCAGTGCCGATAGAAAACAGCAGCTTTTTTTGGCACTGCGGCAGTGCCAAATCGGCACTGCGGCAGTGCCGATAGCCACTACCATGCCTGTGTGTGTCGATCGCCTAGGCCTAGGAAATCATTAGGTTTGATAAAACACGTCCTCAAAAGCTTAACACTAATCATTCTGTAACGGCAAAAGACTTTGCAAGTGTGGGAGAAACATAAATTACTTTCCTCCACTCCACGGGAGAAACAGAGCAGCAGACGAGTTAAGTGAAGTGGTCCTTCCGACTCGGACCAGTTTTATCCAAACGGGACCGGTTTTAGCGGCTAAATTCAACACGGAGGAGCGATTTTAGTAGTCCGGCGGACCGATTTTTGCGGCCAAAATCGGACATTTTTTGTCAGGACCGATTTTGGCGTGACAGGCCTATTTATGTGTGTATACGTACATTTAAAAATTGAGTTGCTTTTCATAGGAAATGAGCTTTTCCGACTTTTGAGGTGACTTTTAATGACTTTTAAGTTCTTTAAGTCTTAAGGTTTTCCTCCGCTTGAAAACGGTCTGGTAAACTTCTCATTCTTATTACCCTGTAAATACTAGTAGCCCTACAGTCCTATGTGTGTATGTACAGTACATAACAAAAATTGAGTCGCTGCATACATACGGTATTCATTTTTCAATAAATCGATGAACCCCAAATAAGACGTGGTCGGGGGTCCTCCCCAGGAAAATTTTGGTTCTTAGATGGCGAGAAATGAGTTTTCCGGACTTCTGAAGTGTCTTTTAATGAAAATTCAAGGTTTTCCTCTTTTGTAAACGGTCAGGTAATTTTTTCTCATTCTTATTACAGTAAATAGGCCTATGTGTGTGCCGGTACACAGAGATTTTTTTTTTCCAAGGGGGTGTCAGGACCCCCTGACCCCTTCCCAGATCCGCCAATGTATTCCCCTACTCGTCTTGAAAGATGTACTGGGTTCTTTATAGTACGCAGCCAATTGTGTATACACTGGGCCTACGGTTTATAGTCCTTATCCGAGAAGACTTGCTCCACTCCAGAACATAGGCGAGTGTGTATTTCAATCAATGCCAAAATAAAACAGGTGATTGAATTGATATATTCTGCAAATTAAATGCAATATTAAATAGGCATATTTGTTCAATTAAAGTTTATTTAAATTCCACTATGTAAGCTAAGAAACTTCTTGCTGAAACTAAGCTAAGAAACCCGATGCTGAAACTAGGTTGCATAAAAAAATAAATCACCCTCTTTTATGTTTACTTTGAAATAGGCTATTTGTTTAATTCACGATAATATAAAACAGACTGGCTGTTGATTTACAGATAAAAAACTGAATGAAGGCTCTATAAATTTACGTGATTATAATAATACTTGCATAATTAATGTAAAGTACTCAAATCAAAGACCAATGTGTTCACTGGAACCTTTGTTGAATGCCTATCTAATCTTGACTATAATATCTAAATTAAAAAAACAACATTTAAATCAATTGTATCCACTACTCAGTTCTCCCAAAATCTAATTTCATTTATTTTTCTAATCGAATACAAGGCCCTCGCGAAGCACAGAGCAGCTGATCATTGAGGCTGACACATGCTTGAAGATAGCAGCACAAACGCAAAATATGTTCTATAGAGATGATTGTGAATAATTCACGAGATTTTACCAAACTATCCTACGTTAAAAATATTTGCTGGCGGCAGTCAGCAAAGAAATCAGATAGCAAGTCATGGCATGCTTTTAAATGTTTGTGTTGTTAATTTATGTATAAAAATATAACTGAAAATTTACAGAAACGTGGTGAAGTTTTTAATTATTATTATTATTATTATTATTATTATTATTATTATTATTATTATTATTATTATTATTATTATTATTGGGCCTATTATTATTATTTTAATCATTATTATCATTATCATCATTATTATTATTAACTTGTATCTAATTTCTATGGAAAAACTTGAAAAATAATTCTACAGTTAACTTTGTTTAATCCGTCAAGTGTGTAGAAAGTTGAAAAATATAATAAAGTTTAATAGGGCATTTAGGCTACCTATGATGGAATATTTGCGTCACTTTCGCTGTTTTGTCATCCATCCATCCATCAACACAATATTATCCCGATTAAACTTATTTCTATCTTGATATATATATATATATATATATATATATATATATCAAGGTAACCGTTAACACTGTTAAATTATATACATAAATCATCAAAGAAAGGTAAATACAGTGTTCCAATAAAGGACATAATAATACATCATGTAGCATAGCTCGCAACGAATGTAGTCCTGTAAATAAATCAATAAAGAAATTGTGTAATAAAATACCTCTGGCGGGACTCGAACCTGCGACCTCTCGCTGTCAAGGCGAGCGTCCAAACCATTAGACCACGGAGGCTTCATGGTTAAACAGATTCAAATGCCACCAGATACACTCCATTACACAATAAGTACGGCTAGAAACAAATAATAGCATACACTGAAATATAAATCAAGGTAGCCGTTAACACTGTTAAATTATATACATAAAT